TATTTTCAATGTTGATCATGCCCTTCATCAATAAAGAGAGTCCTCTTTGACTGCTTAGTGCTTTTTTTCCTTAATTTTATCTTGAATTTCTATTCTGACTGCTGTTTTCTCTGTCTCTTTACTTTTCTCATGGATTTTTATGCATCAATTAAAAAATATTTCTGAACCACATTGATTTAGATGTCATTTTGTTGTTTCTTGGAATACTCATTCAGTCTCAGTGCCCTTGTCATCTTTTCTTTTTCTGAGACAGGGTCTCACTCTGTCGCCCAGGCTGGAGTGCAGTAACACGACCTCAGCTCGCTGCAACCTCTGCCTCCCAGGTTCAAGTGATTCTCCTGCTTCAGCCTCTTGAGTAGCTGGGACTACAGGCACATGCCACCACGCCTGGCTAATTTTTGGATTTTGTTGGTATAGATGAGGTTTCACTGTGTTGGCCAGGCTTGTCTCAAACTCCTGGCCTCAAGTGATCCACCTACCTCAGCCTACCAAAGTGCTAGGATTACAGGTATGGCCAACCCTTGTCATTTAATATATGGAATTTAGCTCATTAATATCTACTGTCAGAATTGAAATTCTGTCTTACGTTTTTTGGTATTTTTAATGTATCCCTGATGTTTTCTTAGCATCCTAACTTTAATTATGGAATAATCTCCCTTTTTTTCAAGTGATTTGAAAGTTCTATCCCTGTTTTGTTATTTTTATCTTCTTTTTTTTTTTTTTTTTTCCAGACAAGGTCTTGCTGTTACCCAGGCTGCAGTTCAATGGTGTAATCACAGCTCCCTGCAGCCTCCATTTCCCAGGCTCCAGTGATCCTCCCACCTCAGCCTCCCAAGCAGCTGGAACCACAGGCATGCACCACCATGCCTGGCTAATTTTTGTATGTTTTGTAGAGATGGAGTTTCATCATGTTGCCCAAACTCCTTAGCTGAAATGATCCACTTACCTCAGCCTCCCAAAGTGCTGGGATTACAGGCATGAGCCACTGTGCCCAGCCTATCCCTGTTTTTAATTCAACTTGTGGTTTATCTTTAGGTTTTTAAAAAATACAGTTGAGGCCGGGTGTGGTAGCTCATGCCAGTAATCCCAGCACTTTGGGAGGCCGAGGCGGGTGAGTCACAAGGTTAAGAGATCAAGACCATCCTAGGCAACACGGTGAAACCCTGTCTCTACTAAAAATACAAAAATTAGCCGGGCATGGTGGCGCATGCCTGTAGTCTCAGCTACTTGGGAGGCTGAGGCAGGAGTATTGCTTGAACCTAAAGGTGGGGGTTGTAGTGAGATGAGATCGTGCCACTGCACTTGAGCCTGGCGACAGAGTGAGACTCCATCTCAAAAAAAACCCAAAAAACAAAAAACAGAAACAAAACAGTTGAATCTACATTTCTCATTAGCAGCAGCAGAAATGAAAGAATATCTATTCTTCTCTCCTTTGTGGATGGGATGTAAACTCTCTTGATATCACATGAACAGGGGTTTCGATGCTCTGAGAGTCACACAGGCTGGTGTAGGCATACTTGGGGTAAAAGACTGGGATGCGAACCCCATGAGTCACACAGACTGCAGTTTGGAAATGCTGGGGTCAGACAGACCAGGTATAGACATTCCTGGTGTCATATTGACTGTGATACGAGCACTTCTGGGGTCACATCGATAGGTATTTGGACACCTATGGGTCTCACAGACTGGAGTGTGAACTTACGGGTTCTGAGACCAGGATGCCAACAATCCTCAGGCCACAGAGACTAGAATGTGGACACTCCTGGCTGCATACATACTGGGACATGACTATTTCTGGTGTCACACAGAGCAGGGTATAGAAACTCCTGGGGTCATGCAGCATCAGGTATAGATCATAGGAGTGTCCACATCCCAGTCTGTGATGCCACTAGAACTCACATTTATTTCTGTGAACACTTTTGTCCACACCGCAGTCTCTCACCCCATTATATCCAGACTGCAGTCTGCATTTCCCTAATAGTGACTATTTTGAAGTCCTTATAAGTCCAGTCATTTCATCTCCTACATTTGGGTTCAGATCTGAAGGCCACTAATGCTGAAGTATTTGCCATAAGCCCAGGTTTAAAGTGTAACTGAAGAGGCATGGATATCAAGACACTTAACAATGGTCCAGTCAGGCGCGGTGACTCACGCCTGTAATCCCAGCACTTCGGGAGGCTGAGGTGGGTGGATCACCTGGGGTCAGGAGTTCAAGACCAGCCTGGCCAACATGGTGAAACCCCATCTCTACTAAAAATATAAAAGTTAGCTGGGCATGGTGGTGCATGCCTGTAGTCCCAGCTACTCAGGAGGTGGAAGCAGGAGAGTCACTTGAACCCAGAAAGCAGAGGTTGCAGTGAGCCAAGATCGTGCCACTGCACTCCAGCCTGGGCAACAGAGTGAGACTCTGTCTCGAAAGAAAAAAAAAAAAAAGCCATGCATGGTGGCATGCAACTGTAATCCCAGCTACTCAGAAAGCTGAGGCAGGAGAATTGCTTGAATCCAGGAGGTAGAGGTTGCAGTGAGCTGAGATCATGCCACTGCACTCCAGCCTGGGTAACAATAGCAAGACTCTGTCTCAGTAAAAATAAAAAATACAACAGGAAAGTATTGATAGCAAATTCACTAACCAGTCCTTGTTTAAGGTGGCACTAACAGTGGTAGTTTTATCAGAGGCCTGTGTGGAAGGCGACACTATCAGAGAGGAACGTATAGTGGAAGAATGAACAGAGACCATAGTTTAAAGTAAGATAGGGACATTGATGATAGAAGAGTTAATACACAGAGTCCAATAATAGACCAGAAAATCACTGATGATGGAATAAAGACACCCAGATTTGAGGTCAAATAAGAGGGGCAAGGATTTTGACCAGGCATGGTGGCTCAAACCTGTAATCCCAGCACTTTGGGAGGCCAAGGCAGGCAGATCACCTGAGGACAGGAGTTTGAGACCAGCCTGAACAACATGGAGAAATTCTGTCTCTACTAAAAATGCAAAATTAGCCGGGCATGGTGCCTGTAGTCCCAGCTACTTGGGAGGCAGAGGCAGGGGAATCGCTTGAACTTAGGAGGTGGAGGTTGCAGTGGGCCGAGATTGCGCTGCTGCACTCCAGCCTGAGCAACAAAAGCAAAAGTCTGTCTCAAAAAAAACAAAACAAAACAAAAGTCCAGGCGTGGTGGCTCATGCCTGTAATCCCAACACTTTGGGAGGCCAAGGTGGGCAGATCACGAGGTCAGGAGCTCGAGACCAGCCTGACCAACATGGTGAAACCCTGTCTCTACTAAAAATACAAAAATTAGCTGGGTGTGGTGGCACTTGCCTGTAATCCCAGCTACTCAGGAGGCTGAGGCAGGAGAATCACTTGAACCCTGGAGGCAGAGGTTGCAGTGAGCTGAGATCGCGCCACGGTACTCAGCCTGGGTGACAAAGCGAGACTCCATCTCAAAAAGGCGGGGGGTAAGGATTTTTAATTAGTTCTGCTTTAATTATGCTGTTGAATAGCTAGACAGAGAGATGGGACTTGATACTGGGATAGTTAGCAAATGCTTGACTTCAGACTAGAGGAATATTCCAGGCATAACAGTTAACAGAGACCCTGGTTTAGGGTTAGACCAGAGAAAAAGGGATGAGGACAATCGAATTACTATCTGGGTTTGAGGTCAGTTCAGAGGGGACTCGAGTCTAGGATAGTTAACAGAGCCTGGGGTTTGCGTTCACACTCTAGGGACACTGGTGTCAGGAGAGATAACTGTACAAGTTCAATGACAGATCACAGGACACTGGTGATGGAGCAGTTAGCAGAGGATCAGATTAAGGTCAAACCAGATGGGAGTTGGTGGTATATTTAATAGAAGACTGGTCTGAGAAGGCTTGGAGTAGAAGGATTTGGGGCTAGTTAAATGGCTGTGTTGGCTAACTAGACCAGTAGATCTTGAAATATGAAATAGGAAATGTAAGTCCTGGTTATGAGTCAGACAGACTAGAGAGCAAGAAGAGTGGGACAGTTCTGATTAGGGAGCAGGACAACTCTGAATGTGGAATGACTAGAAAAGATAACGCAGATTTTGAGAACAAGCCAGAAGGACATTGACGCTGTAATGTTTAACAGTAGACCAGGTTTGAGATCAGACCAATTGATGGTTTAGGGGTTAAAATGGCCTACAAAGTCAGATCAGAGGGGACAGAAGGTTGACTAGTTTAAAAAAAAAAAGACCAGGTATGATCCATGCGGACATTAGATGCAAAATGAACAGAGGCCCAGGTTTGATTAGAGACCAGAAGGACCTGTAAGCTAGAATATCAAATGAAGGTCGGCTGGGCACATGGCTCACGCCTGTAATCCCAGCACTTTGGGAGGCCAAGGCAGGCAGATCATCTGAGGTCAGGAGTTCGAGACCACCCTGGCCAACATGGTGAAACCCCGTCTTTAAATATATATATATTAGCTGGGTGTGGTGGTGTACACCTGTAGTCCCTGTGGTGTATACCTGTAGCTACTTGGGAGGCTGAAGTGGGAGGATCACCTAAGCCCTGGAAGTTGAGGCTGCAGTGAGCTATGGTCATGCCACTGCATTCCAACCTGGGTGACAGAGTGAGACCCCGTCTCAAAAACAAAACAAGGCACCCTGTCAGGAACGTCTTCCCTGATACCATAAAGACCCACTCCCCCAACTCCAACTTCTGCAGCTCTGTCTCCCATCCTTGCCTTATTTTCTTTGCACCACTCATCATTAGCTGACCTGTTCCACATTTTTGTCTACTGTCTCCTCTACAATGCAAGCCCAACAAGGGCAGGCATTTCCATCAGATTAGGTCACAGCAGTATCCCCAGTGCCTAGAACAGTTCCTGGCACACAGTCAGGGCTCACTAATCTCTATCAAATGCATGAGTGTGTAAAACAGTTAAAGCGGTGCCTGTGACCCAGCAGACATTCAATCAATGCTTGTGGAATGAATGAATCGTCGATGCATGAATGCACGAATGAGTCAATGAACTCCGTTCCACCGTGTTCCTGGAGCTGCCTGCTCCCCTGCCAGTCCCCGGCAGAGCTGGGAGCCGGCCCTCAGCACAACCACTGAAGCTTTATTTACAACACGAGGCTGGAGTAAAGGGATGGGATGGTGGACAGCAGCAGGGCTGGCAGGACCCTATTTCTGCTCCCGCCTCCAGACGATGACCATGCCGCTGGCGTCACTGGAGGCCAGTAGGCTCTCGTCGCAGTTGAAGCTGACATCAAGCACGGGCGCACTGTGGCCCTGCAGCTTGTTGACAGCAGCCTTGGCTGCCCGTTCCACATCAAAGAAGTGCACGCACATGTCCTCACTGCCTGTCACTGTCGGGGTGAGAGGGAGAGGCCATCGGGAGGCGCCTGGGGTGCCCCTGGTGGGAAGTCCCTGAGGTGTTGAAGGGTGTATGTTGGAGGTGTGAGGTCCCAGCATGGCTTGGGGAAGTTTGAGGGGACCCCATCCTTAGCTGGGAGGTCGCCTGGCTCTTTTGGTACTATGTGCAGAGTCCAAGGTCTCTGGGCTTTTTAGGGGGAGGTGTGTTCAAAGTGTGAGTTTTCATTGCTTCTCGGCCTTTTGGCTGAGATCAAGTGCAAACTGTGAGTTCTCTGAGCTGTTTGGAGCTGTCAGTAGCAGACTGAGGCTGTTGGGGTGTGAGGGGTCATGAGGCCCAGGTCAGGGTGTCAGGGTGTCAGGGTGTCGTGATATCTGAGCCAAGTCAGCACCAGCCCTGGTCCCTGCCCCTCCCCAGCCACCCAGATGCCCTGTCCCTATAGGACTCACCCACGCAGGCCCCCTGGCGGAAGGACATGAGGGGACAGAAGATGCTGCGCACCGGGTGTGAGCTCTGCTCGATGGGGAAGCTTCTCTTCAGCTGCAGGGTCCCCTCGTTGTCTACCACTCTGAGAGGAGGACGAGACAGAAGGTCAAAACATAGCCCCAGCCCCAGCAGGGGGACAAGCTGTGGGCCTGTGTCCCCACCCCGTGCCTAAGTTCTTCTCAAGGTTCATGAAACCCAATTTTTTTTTGTTTTTGAGACAGGATCTTACTCTGTCACCCAGGCTGGAGTGTAGTGGTGCGATCATGGCTCACTGCAGCCTCAACCTCCCAGGCTCAAGTGATCCTCTCGTCTCAGCCTCCTGCGTAGCTGGGCCTACCTATAGGTACATACCATTCCCAGCTTATGAAACCCAATTCTGAGGTGACTGCATAAACTGTAAACAGGGGCTGATGTGTGAGTTACCGATGGCTCAGAAACTGTCTCTGTTGATATAAACGGGAGCCTCTCCAGTTTCATCCACTAGTTTTTCTAAGATCCTGGTGTTAAGACAGGCACAAAGAGACTAAATGAACACACCATGGTACACTCACACTGTGGAAAACTGCACAGCCCTTAGACAGAATAAAGCACAGTTCCCGAAGGTGACCTGCGGGGTTTCTACAAGGCACCGCCTGGTGAGAAACTTGAGATGTATGAAAAGGCCATTTCTTTTTTCTTTCTTTTTTTGAGAAAGAGTCTCACTCTGTTGCCCAGGCTGGAGTGCAGTGATGCCATCTCAGCTCACTGCAACCTCCGTCTCCCAGGTTCAAGTGATTCTTCAGCCTCAGCCTCCTGAGAAGCCGGGACTATAGACGTGCGCCACCATGCCTGGCTAATTTTTATATTTTTAGTAGAGATGGGGTTTCACCATATTGGCCAGGCTGATCTTGAACTCCTACCTCGTGATCCACCTGCCTTGGCCTTCCAAAGTGCTAGGATTACAGGTATGAGTCACCGCGCCCAGCGCCCCCCCCCCTTTTTTTTTTTTTATTATTTTAAGAGATGGAGTCTGGCTCTGTCACTCAGGCTGGAGTGCAATGGCATGATCTCAGCTCACTGCAACCACTGCCTCACAAGTTCAAGTGATTCTGCAGCCTCAGCCTCCAGAGTAGCTGGGATTACAGGCGCCTGTCACCACATATATCTAATTTTCGTATTTTTAGTAGACATGGGGTTTTGCTATGTTGACCAGGCTGGTCTCGACCTCCTGATCTCAAGTGATTTGCCCACCTCAGCTTCCCAAAGTGCTGGGATCACAGGCGTGAGCCACTGCACCTGGCCCAAGAATGTCTTTCAATAGGTGAATAATGAAACTGTTACCTCCATAAAAGGAACATTAAGTGATAAGAAAACCCATTTCTTTAAAATGTCTTTCCTTCAAAACTATGGTGGGAGCCAGGCAAGGAGGCTCATGCCTGTAATCCCAGCACTTTGGGAGGCTGAGGTGGGAGGATTGCTTCAGGCCAGGAGTTCGAGACCAGACTGGGTAACATGGCAAATCTTCATTTCTGCAAAAAATAGATTTAAAAAGTTAGCTCGGCATGGTGGCAAATGCCCGTAATCTCAGATACTTAGCCTGAGGTGGGGAAATCAAATGAGCCCAGATGTTGGAGGCTGCAGTGAGCCATGATCACGCCACCGCACTCCAGTCTGGGTGACAGCAAAACCCTATCTCAAACAAAAACACACGTGGGTATGTGTACACACCTAGGATTCGTGGAGAGAGGAGGGCATGTGGAAAGATGTGGATCATTAGTGGGCTTTACTGTGGCAGGAGAAGGCCAGATGTGGTAGGAGGAAGAAGGGAGGGGCTGTGGGAAATGGGCACAAACCTAAGGGTACACTTAAATTAAAAATTTTTAAAGCATATATATAGAAATTGTTTAAAAGGAGGAGAGAGCTGGGTGCAGTGGCTCACGCCTGTAATCCCAGCACCCTGGCAGGCCAAGGCGGGCAGATCACGAGGTCAAGAGATCGAGACCAGCCTCGCCAACATGGTGAAACCTCATCTCTACTAAAAATACAAAAATTGGTCAGGCATAGTGGCACATGCCTGTAATCCTAGCTACTGAGGAGGCTGAGGCAGGAGAATTGCTTGAATCCAGGAGGTGGAGGTTGCAGTGAGCCGAGATCAGGCCACTGCACTCCAGCCTGGCGACAGAGTGAGACTCCACCTCAAAAAAAAAAAAAAAAGGGAGAGAAGTAAAGTGATAGAATAAAAAGCATCCTGTTAAGCAGTGATTTTCAGGTCTGGCCTGATATCGCTTAGGGAATTTCTCAATCTACCCATGCCCAGGCCCATCCCAAAACTTCTGAAACCACTGTCCTACAGAGGGGCCCGGGCAGGATTTTTTGAGACTCTTCAGGTCATTCCAATGTGTGGCCCAGGCTGAGAACTGCATTTGGGTCACATGACAGATTGAGTGGGGATAGTAACCCCCACACCCCACCCCCAAAAAAAAGAAAAAAGGAAGGAAGAAAGGAAAACAGGCCTTGCTTTGAGTAACCCTAGTCTATTTTTGTTTTATTATGCTTTAAGTTCTGGGGTACATGTGCAGATCCTGCAGGATTGTTGCATAGGTACACACATGCCATGGTGGTTTGCTATCTCCATCCCCCTATCACCTACATCAGGCATTTCTCCCAGTGTTATCCCTCCCCAACCTCCCCACCCCCAGCTGTCCCTCCCTTAGCCCCTCATACCCCAACAGACCCCAGTGTGTGATGTTTCCCTCCCTGTGTCCATGTGTTTTCATTGTTCATCACCCGCCTATGAGTGAGAACATGCAGTGTTTGGTTTTCTGTTCTTGTGTCAGTTTGCTGAGAATGATGGTTTCCAGCTTCATCCATGTCTCTACAAAGGACATGAACTCGTCCTTTTTTATGGCTGCATAGTATTCCATGGTATATATGTGCCACATTTTCCTTGTCCAGTCTATCATTGATGGGCATTTGGGTTGGTTCCAGGTCTTTGCTATTGTAAACAGTGCTGCAATGAACATACGTGTGCATGTGTCCTTATAGTAGAATTATTTATAATCCTTTGGATATATACCCAGTAATGGGACTGCTGGGTCAAATGGGATTTCTATTTTTAGATCCTTGAGGAATCGCCACACTGTCTTCCACAATGGTTGAATTAATTTACATTCCCACCAACAGTGTAAAAGTGTTCCTATTTCTCCACATCCTCTCCAGCATCTGTTATCTCCAGATTTTTTAATGATCGCCATTCTAACTGGTGTGAGATGGTATCTCAATGTAGTTTTGATTTGCATTTCTCTAATGACAAGTGATGATGAGCATTTTTTCATGTTTGTTGGCCTCATAAATGTCCTCTTTTGAAAACTGTCTGTTCTTATCTTTTGCCCTCGTCCATTTTATGCTTCAGTTTGCTCAACTGCAAAATGGAGATAATAACAGCAGCTGCCTCACAGGTCGGTGCAAGGACTGAATGCAGTGATACACAGAAACTGCTTCAAACAGGGCCTGGCCGCAGTGATCGCTGTAAACGTGCATGCTCACTTCTGCTATTAGCGTTACTGCTACTACTGCTCCCTCAATGAAATTAACCTGATGGAGGAGATGGGCTACTGTCCCAGTGTGCTGGAGGAAGCAGGCCCTCCATCTCCAGGAGACCCTGTGGGGGACCCACCTGTAGAGCAGCAACTTGTTGAGGCAAGCATTGATGAGCAGCGAGGGGTCCCGGGCCTCACGGCTGACCCAGGACCGGGCTGAGATGCTGGTCACAGGACTCCCCTCATGCACCACCAGACGCTTGGCTTTGGTCAGCTTCCCTGCAGCAGCGGAGGGAGGGAAGGCAAAGGGGAGGGTGAGGGCTATGCCCCGGGGAGGGCGAGCACCCAGATGCAGGACTGCTGTCTGCCTACCCGTGGCCATGTCGAAGAGGAAGGAGAAGATACTGCCACGGTCATCACCCGCCCAGAGCAGCCGGCCAGGGGCATCGAAGGACAGAGCGAGGACACGGCCTGTCAGCTTGCTGGAGCCCCCCTTCACTTTCTTGCCCGTGGAGATGTTCATGACATGCACGTTGTGCTTGGCGTTTCCCACCTGTGGGGAGAATGCACAGACCATCATTCTGCTCCCAGCCAGTCCCTCCTCGAGTCTGAACACAGTGAGGCTACCGTTGATGGGACTGGCTGGTCCCCATTAAGAGTCTATTCACAGTGGGGCTGTGGTAGGTAGACAAGAAGGTGATCAGGCATGAATCCACCTCCCTAGCTAGCCCCTCTTGTAATCTGCCCAGAGTAGGGCACTTGCCTATGGGACTAAAGGGCCTTCAGAGCCATCATGCTGCCCCTTGGCCAGTCCTCCTGCAGGGTGAGAACCACGGGGCCTGCCCAGGCCTGTGATCCCAGCCTTCCCCTGCTCCCTGGCTGTGCCTTTCTGGAACTTGTGGGGCTGCTGCTGACACGGGGAGGATCCTGGCTCACAAGCTCGCTCTTGGTCAGTTCCTCTGCACTTTACCCCACCCCACCCTGGGCCATGCCAGACTTTTTAATGTTCTTCCCCTGCTCTCTGACCAATCTACCCTGGAGTCTGACCATGGTGGGGCTCCCATTGATAGACCAGATGAGGCTCAGCCTCATCGTCCTGCTCCTCAGAGGTAGCCCCTGCAGTCAGAAAGCTGTAGGACTGCAGCTGATGTGACCAAAGGGGTCCCAGAGCCAGGACCCTGCCCTGGCCAGTGCTCCCTGAAGTTTACCACAGCAAGGCCATCTCAGACCAAGAATGGTCTTATGATCTGCTTCCCTTTTAAGTCTGGCCATGGCTGGGCGTGGTGGCTCACGCCTGTGATCCAAGTACTTTGGAGGCCAAGGTGGGCGATCACCTGAGGTCGGGAGTTCAAGACCAGCCTGACCAACATGGTAAAACCCTGTCTTTAAAAAAAAAAAAAAAAGTCTGACCACACTAGGACTGCTGTGATGAGATTGGCGGGGGTCCTAGGCCCCCCTGGCTGCCCCTCCTTATACTCTCACTCCCTCAGATGGCCTTCCTGACCCAGTCCGCCCGCCCTTGGTGAGTGGGGGCCCTGGAGGCTGACCACGGTGAGGTTGTTGTTGACAGGCTGGAAGGTACAGCAGAGCAGTTCAGCACCATCGGGGTCAGGGATCTCCCGGATGCAGCGGCCATCTTCAGAGGCCCAGATGCGCATGGTAGCATCAAGTGAGGTGGATACGAGGATGTCATTGGAGAGGGACCAGGCGAAGTCGGAGACACCACGGGTGTGGCCCCGTAGGACACGAAGCACCGTGGGCGGGGCGGGCACCAGCTGGCACAGGGAGATGCTGCCGTCGAGTGAGCAGCAGGCCAGGCGGTGCCGGTCATCATTGGCGAAGCGTACTCGTGGAACTGCAATGCCAAGAAGCCATTTGTGGGAGTCTGCACACACACTGGGCACTTTTCTCTCTAAAAGGCTCTGATGTGTGTGCCAGGGCCTGCGGCCCCACTGCATGAGGCACAGTGGCCTCAGCAAAGGGCTTTCCTTGGCTGACAAAGGGAACTGTAACCCCAGAAGGTCCTCTGCCAAGGCTCCCTAAGTCTTAGCAGCTCCTTTGCAGATTGCAAAAGTCTTCTGCAATGTGAAAAGGCTCCTGTCTTAGCAAACAATTTACAATCAAGGTCTTGGCCGTTTGCAAAACTCTTGACACTGTAGCCCACTCTGCTCTCTGCAAGGGGATTTCTCATCAGCAAAGTCTTTTTTTTGAAACGGAGTCTTGCTTCTCGCTCTGTCACCCAGGCTGGAGTGCAGTGGTACAGTCTTGGCTCACTGCAACCTCCACCTCTCGGGCTCAAGTGATTGTCCTGCCTCTGCCTCCTGAGTAGCTGGGACTACAGGCCCTTGCCACCACACCCGGCTAATTTTTCGTATTTTTAGTAGAGATGGGTTTCACTGTGTTAGCCACGATGGTCTCCATCTCTTGACCTCGTGATCTGCCCGCCTCAGCCTCCCAAAGTGCTGGGATTACAGGTGTGAGCCACCTTGCCCAGCCCATCTTTGAACTCTTCCAAGTGACTCACAAACCCAGGCTCCCTGCTGCAAAGGGCTCTCTTAGGCTTCTGAGGCTCTTTTTTTTTTTTTTTTTTTAGGCAGAGTTTCGCTCTTGTTACCCAGACTGGAGTGCAATGGCGCAATCTCGGCTCACCGCAACCTCCGCCTCCTGGGTTCAGGCAATTCTCCTGCCTCAGCCTCCTGAGTAGCTGGGATTACAGGCACGCGCCACCATGCCCAGCTAATTTTTTGTATTTTTAGTAGAGACGGGGTTTCACCATGTTGACCAGGATGGTCTCGATCTCTCGACCTCATGATCCACCCGCCTCAGCCTCCCAAAGTGCTGGGATTACAGGCTGGAGCCACCGCGCCCGGCTCTGAGGCTCTTTACAGTAGAGAAAGCACTGAGACTCTGCAGACCACTGTGCAGGGGGGCTTTTCAGTCTGCAGAAGGCTTTGTGGATGCGAATTCCTCCTTCAGAGGTGTGCCAGGGGCCTGGTATTCAGAAAAGGATGCCTTGGTTGTTTGTCACAGTTTGGGCAAACACTTGGTGATAGAACCCGCCACCCACTGACTCACCTGCTTCATCCACGTGCTGGTCAAAAACATGGTACATGCCTGCAAAGGCATAGTTCTCGCTCAGTGATGTGTCCCCGGCCATGGCCCGGCTTGCCTCTGCCGCTGACGTGGGCACCACGCTGCCAGGGGGCCTGGGCCCCAATAGGAAGTGAGGGGTGACAAGAGGTAGATGTGAGAGTGTTCAGTCTGCCATTGCCCCAGGGCCCCTCTCCTCCTTGCAACCACACCCCCCTCAGCTATCTCTGGCGCATACCTGTCCTCATAGACGGCACGGTTCATCTGTGCTTGCAGCTGGTAGGAGCCTCGGCTGACAGAACGGCGGTGCCCACGAGCCCCTAGGGCCCGAGGATCATCCTCAAAGTCCTGCAAATGGAGAGGGTCAGAGTGGGTGTATCCTGCAAAAAGCCCCTGAGATCCTTTGAGGTGTGGAGCCCTGAAAATCTACCTAGAGCCACATCACTTCTCACCGTGTCCCCTGCCACCACCCCTGCTGCCCACCTGTACTACTGCAGTGGCTTCTTCAGGAGTTCTGCTGTTCCTGCCTTCCCCTGCTCAACAGATACTCCAAACATGGCTTGTTCTATGTTTATTGACCTGTTTACCAAGTTTATTGTCTGTTCATTGATTTACTGGGCATATTATCTTTTTGTCCTCTGCTGATACAGAACAGTGGCCAGCACAGAGCAGGTGCTTGATGAAAGTCTGCAGAGCGAATGTGTGCAGGCAGGATATGCCCAGGGGGCGAATGTGGCCAGGAGCTCACCTCCATGCGGTCAAGGGTAGTGCGGCTACTGCGGACGATGCTGTTGCTATAGGCACGAGCACTGCCTGGCTCGGAGAGGGGCCCGTAGCGCTGGCCCAGCAGCTGCCCCCGAAGCCTCAGGTACTGCCGACGCAGTGCTGGGGGGTGCCCAGCCTTGGCATTCTCCCGCAGCAGCTGGCTGCGCCGGCGGATATACTGCGTCCGAAACTGTGGAAACGTTGGTGTGCGGTACGCGTTGTACCTGCAGGGTCAGGATGCAGGGCAGGCAGCAGGCACAGGAAAGAGGGAATCAATCAGCTTGGGGGACAGGGCAGGAGAGTGAGGTGTGTGGCAGTGACTGGGGCCGAGGTGTAAGAATGACTAGCAGTGGTGATGGGGGACCTCTTGGTCCTGCGGTAGGAGTGAATGTTCGGTAATAATCAGCGTGGTGATGAGGTCACTGTGCAGACAATGGAGTCAGTCTGCTGCCTTGCTGGGGTCCCTACCGGGTGACTGGGTCAGCACAGACAATAATTGGGGTCAGTCTACCATGGCAACAGAAATCACACTGACATTATGGGGGTCGGCGTTGGGTAGTGATGGGGTCACAACAGGGAAGTGATGATGTTAAAAAACAATCTAGGAGACACCCATAGGGGATAGGATGTCACCAGCCTGAGCCCCACCTCCCTCCCACAGGCAGCCTCTTTGCGCATATCCACATCTGACCACATTTTCCCAGCATGCTGTTTAGAACCCTCTCCAGCCCAGAAACTCACGGCAGGCGTGCCCGCCTCCTCTACTGCGCATGCTCACCTCCGGCAAGCCCACGCAGCCGCATAAGGCAAATTCTCCGCCCAGCCTCACTTATCGCCATTGCGCATGCACCACAGTAAGTTCCGCTCCCATGGGCTTCGACCCTACGCCTCACCTCGCGTCCACTGCTAAGACTTGCTGCCACACCGCGGCCATTCCCTGGCCTCCTCCTCTGGCGCCTCCGCCCGCGGGAGCCTGCAGGACAAGGGCCTGGAATGTGAGCGTCCCGAGCAAAGGGATCTAGTTCCGTCCCTTCCGCCAGGCGACCATTGCCATAGACATCGAGTCCCTCTGCGCCGGAGATGTCACGAACTCCCACCCGGCTGTTACCATGGTCATCACCCCAGCCCTGCCCTTCCTGGGCAACGCCCGGGTGACACACAGCGATTCAGAACAGACACCGCCCCTCCCCGGTCGCCATAGCAACGCCCCTCCCCCGCCTAGCATTCCTTGCTTGACGTTTCCCACCCATCTTGTCCCCGCCGCCCTCCGCCTTCCCTTCTCAGGTCCAAGAGCATAGCCCGGGATCGGGGACCACCTCCGGGGCTGCCTCCGGTTCTTGAGGCCCCCCGGGGCGGCCCTGAGACCACTGTCGCCGGTTCCTTCTGTCTCTCCTCCCTTTCTCAGGCTCCAGGCAAGATGGCCGCCTGCTATCAGAGAGAGCTGCCGAGCCCAGAGCGAATCGATAGGCATCCTTCCCAGGGCGTGGGAGTCTCGCAGGCGCATTGAGGGACATTCGCTTCAGGCACAAGGACGGAGGCTCCACCCCTCGACTTCTACCCATTCGTTAATGGCACTTTTTGTTTATACAAGGATAATGTCCAAGGGACATAGTGTCAGGGGTGAGTTTACGAATCATTCCCTAGAAATCAGAAATACAACATTATAAAAAAGAGAAGGTGGCCGGGTGCAGGGGCTCACACCTGTCATCCCAGCACTTTGGGAGGCCGAGGCGGGTGGATCACGAGTTCAGGAGATCAAGACCATCCTGTCCAACATGGTGAAACCCTGTCTCTTTAAAAAAAAAAAAAAAAAGAAAGAAAGAAAAAGAAAGACAACTTTTAAAAAGTGGTATAGGGCCAGGCACGGTAACTCACGCTTGTAATGCCAGCACTTTGGGAGGTGGAGGCAGGTGGATCACAAGGTCAGGAGATGGAGACCATCCTGGCCAACATGGTGAAACCCTGTTTCTAAAAGAAACATGACTTTTAAAAGTGGTATAGGGCCAGGTGCGGTGGCTCACACCTGTAATGCCAGCACTTTGGGAGGCCAACGTGGAAGGATCACTTGAGCCCAGGAGGCAGAGACCAGCCTGGGGAACAAAATGAGACCCCATCTCTACCGAAAATTAGTCTGACATGGTGGTGCATGCCTGCAGTCCCAGCTACTTGGGCGGCTGAGGCAGAAGAATTGCTTCAGCCCGGGAGGTTAAGGCTGCAATGAGCTGTGATTGTGCCACTACACTCCAGCCTGGGCAACAGAGCAAGACCCTGTCTCTAAAAAAATAAATAAAAGAGACCAGCTGTGGTGGCTCACACCTGTAATCCCAGCACTTTGGGAGGCTGAGGAGGGTAGATCACCTGAGGTTAAGAGTTTGAGACAAGCCTGCCCAACATGGTGAAACCCTGTCTCCACTAAAAATACAAAAAATTAGTGGGACGTGGTGGCAGATGCCTGTAATCACAGCTACTCAGGAGGCTGAGGCAAGGAGAATCACTTGAACCCTGGAGGCAGAGGTTGCAGTGAGCCAAGATTGTGCCATTGTACTCCAGCCTGGGCAACAAGAGTGAAACTCCATCTCAAAAATATATAAATAATTTAAAAAGAGAGAGACATGGGGTGAGCTGGGCATGGTGGCTCACACCTGTAATCCCAACACTTTAGGAGGCCAAGGCAAGAATACCACTTGAATCTAGGAGTTTGAGACCAGCCTGGGTGACACAGTGAGACTACATCTCTACAAAAATTAATTAGCTGTGTGTGGTGGTGTGTGCTTATAGTACCAGCTGCTCGGGAGGCTAAGTTGGGAGGATCACTTGAGCCTGGGAGGTTTAGGCTGCAGTGAGCCATGCCACTGTATTCTGGCTTGGATGTTAAGAGTGAGACCCTGGCCGGGCGCGGTGGCTCAAGCTTGTAATCCCAGCACTTTGGGAGGCCGAGGCGGGTGGATCACGAGGTCAAGAGATCGAGACCATCCTGGTCAACATGGTGAAACCCCATCTCTACTAAAAATACAAAAAAATTAGCTGGGCATGGTGGCACGTGCCTGTAATCCCAGCTACTCGGGAGGCTGAGGCAGGAGAATTGCCTGAGCCCAGGAGGCGGAGGTTGCGGTGAGCCGAGATCGCGCCATTGCACTCCAGCCTGGGTAACAAGAGCGAAACTCCGTCTCAAAAAAAAAAAAAAAGAGTGAGACCCTGTTTAAAAGAAAGAGAGAGATTGGCGGTGGGGCAGGGGAGTCTTGATATCTTGCCCAGGCTGGTCTCGAACTCATGGTCTTGAGGCATCCTCCCACCTCAGCCTCCTGAATAGCTGGGATTACAGGCATGAACCACTGCACGCAGCTCTGAAACCCTATTTGTGACAGGCATTGGGTTTATTTCCGTGTTCTTTTTTCACCATAAAGAGTGTTGTGATAATGCCTTTCCCATTCATTTCCACCTTCCCTCAACAGAGCCCTGCCCCTTCATCTTACCACTCTGCTTCCAAAGAAACATGATGGAATGAAATCACAGGAGAGTCCGGAAATCAAGTCAGGGATCCCTGGGAAATTTAGTTTCACCATTGGAATGAATTAATTTGTCATTTTTCAATATTCACATATTAAAATTGTAAAAATTATTTTTAAAACCTCTTCCTGGCCGGGCGCGGTGGCTCAAGCCTGTAATCCCAGCACTTTGAGAGGCCGAGACGGGTGGATCATGAGGTCAAGAGATCGATCATCCTGGTCAACATGGTGAAACCAGATCATCCTGGTCAACATGGTGAAACCCCATCTCTACTAAAAATACAAAAAATTAGCTGGGCATGGTGGCGCGTGCCTGTAATCCCAGCTACTCAGGAGGCTGAGGCAGGAGAATTGCCTGAGCCCAGGAGGCGGAGGTTGCAGTGAGCCGAGATCGTGCCATTGCACTCCAGCCTGGGTAACAAGAGCGAAACTCCGTCTCAAAAAAAAACAAACAAAACAAACAAAAAAAAAACCCTCTTCCTGTAAGGCTATATTAGACAAAACAAACTAATGAAAGGGTTGTTAGCTGAGCACTGCGGCTCACACCTGTAATCCCACCACTTTGGGAGGCCGAGGGGGGCAGATCACTTGAGGCCAGAAGTTAGAGACTAGCCTGGTCAACGTGGGAATCTCTGCCTCCTGGCTCAAGTGATTCTTGTGCCTTAGCCTCCCAAGTAGCTGGGACTACAATCAGGCATTACCACGCCTGGCTAATTGTTGTGTTTTTTAGTAGAGATGGTTTCGCCACGTTGGTCAGGCTGGTCATGAACTCTTGACCTCAACTGATCCACCCACCTCGGCCTCCCAAAGTCCTGGGATTACAGGCATGAGCCACTGTGCCCAACCTGTTTCAACTGTTTTAACATTTGTGTGCTGTCATTAGATTAAAAATGGCTTTTGTTTTTGTTTTTGAGATTAAGTTTTGTTATTGTTGCCCAGGCTGCAGTGCAGTGACATGACCTCGGCTTACTGCAACCTCCACCTCCTGGGTTCCAGCAATTCTCCCGCCTCAGCCGCCTGAGTAACTGGGATTACAGGCACCCCCCACACCTGGCTAATTTTTTGTATTTTTCGTAGAGACAAGGTTTCACCATGTTGGCCAGGCTGGTCTTGGACTCCTCACCTCAGGTGATCTGTCCACCATGGCCTCCCAAAGTGCTGGGATTAAAGGCATGAGCCACTGCACCTGGCCTAAAAATGGGATTTGAACAACAATCTGATGAAAGAAGGCACTTTCAGTTGAGAGCTTGGAGAGGAAGGGGCACATTTATCTGTGTGAATAGCAGGTCAGTGTGTTGGGGAAAGGAGGGTCTCAGGCCTGGGGGTATCGAGTAGAGATTGTGAATGACTTTGGTTATAATCATAACACCTAGAAAAAAAGCTCAAAGCCATGGGGGACCACAAGCCCCCTTTACTCTAACAGGATCCAGGGCTATTTTACTGTCAGAGTGATGTTGAAGGTCCCAGTCAAATGAACAACAAAACCAGATTTGGACAGAAAAGACAGGTAAGCCTGAGTTGTTTGAAGATGATACTTATCACAACAGTGACTGTCATGGTGGAAGAAACAGGCAGGGGCTGTCTTTTTTCCAGACTCATCCTTCCTTTATGCATTCCCTGCCTATCTGGCTCCCAGAGTTTAGAAATGCAAAGGAAAGGCTGGGTGTGGTACGTCACACCTGTAATCCCAACATTTTGGGAGGCTGAGACAGGAGGACTGCTTGAGCCCCAGAGTTTGAGATCTGCCTGACAACATGGTGAGACCCCGTCTCTACAAAATATTAAAAAATTAACCAGGCATGATGGTGCACACCTGTAGTCCCAGCTACTCAGGAGGCTGAGGTGGGAGGATCCCTTGAGCCCGCAAAGTTGAGGCTGCAGTGAACCCGTGATCACACCACTGCACTCCAGTCTTGGCAACAGAGTGAGACCCTGTCTCAAACAAAACAAAACAAAACAAAAAAAACCCAAAAGAACACAGTTGACCACATTGGCTGTGTCTGCTTTTCACTGCTACCACAGGCTGAAATAAAACCCCAAGTTGGGCCCCAACTTCAGGAGACAAAGTAGAGCATGATTTGAGGGAAAGTGTAGGTGGTTCAAGGGCCAGGTATGCTGAGAATCAAGGCCAGAGAGAGAAACGGGAGGAGCCGTGGAGCTGAGGTGTAATTGGAGTGGAGACAAGGAATCCTCATTCACTTATCTCATCCCTGAAGTTTCTTCCTAAATGGGGTGAGTGGGGGTTGGGATGCGAGGTCGTAACTTTCATCATTTCCTGATGGGGGTTGGAGACAACTTTCTATGGCCTAAGTCAGAAACAAGATTTCTGCCACTGGAAGACACCTCAACAGAGCACTGAGTGGCCCCCAGCACATTGAACTAGCAAGCCAGCCTTCTGACAGATACTGCTTCAGCCCTTGGAGCTACCATTCTAACTGCCAAGATCAACGGTAAGAAAACAATGTAAGAGGCCGGGCGCGGTGGCTCACGCCTGTAATCCCAGCACTTTGGGAGGCCGAGGCGGGTGGATCACGAGGTCGAGAGATCGAGACCATCCTGGTCAACATAGTGAAACCCCGTCTCTACTAAAAATACAAAAAACTAGCTGGGCGTGGTGGCGCGTGCCTGTAATCCCAGCTACTTAGGAGGCTGAGGCAGGAGAATTGCCTGAGCCCAGGAAGGCGGAGGTTGCGGTGAGCCGAGATCGCGCCATTGCACTCCAGCCTGGGTAACAAGAGCGAAACTCCGTCTCAAAAAAAAAAAAAAAAAAAAAGAATACAATGTAAGAAATTGGTAAACTTACTGTAAATGAAACAGTAGTTCAGGCAGGCTCGACAGCTCACGCTTGTAATTCCAGCACTTTGGGAGGCCAAGGCACGGGTATCACTTGAGGCCAGGAGTTTGAGACCAGTCTGGCCAACATGGTG